TTTTTTAAAGGGGGAAATGGAAGGACAACGTGACAGTGATGCTAAGAAAGTATTTTATCCCACTGATACGGTACAGTAGGCCTATCCAATATAAAAATCACTTTGATTCTTATTCTTCCTAAATTCAAAACCCAGGATAAATCCCTGTGGTTATCATCTTTAATCTTTAATATTTGCAAAGACAAATTTTATTTAATTTAATACTTAGTTTCATTTAAAATTAGCAAACATGAATTAATTCATCTTGAGTAGACCAACACTGACGCCATTTACAATAGAGAAAAGTTAATCAGCTTCACTGTTACACACTTGCTGGGCAACATCTATGCTAGCCACTTTCACATTAATAGACACTAGTAATGAAATACTAGTAAACTACCAAATTAATGATTTATAGCCATCTTCTGAAAATGAAAAGAGGTGACCTAAATCATATAGATTTTTAAATACTTTATTTCATAAGTTATGGTGGCACTGAATGAATTTAAATAATAGGTTTCCTACATTTACTATAACAAGATCCTTGAAATAGAGGAAGGAACACCAGCAGCCTAACTCCCAGACCCATAGATCTATAATTTCCATTCTTAAATTCCTCATAGGAAACTTGGCTACTACAGTGGTATAAGGAAAAAATAGATTGAAGTGTGGTCTAAGCCAGCTTCAATTTCTGTTTTCCACCTATTCCACTGTTTGCCTTTTGCTTTGTGTCAAGATGATCTTTCACTACTCTAGAATCATCAGATCTGAAATTCCACTTTAGCTTTGGAATATAAATATTTCAAGTTAGAATGGATGACATATCAGAACTCTCCACAGGATTTAGTTTAAGAACAATTTTATATTGGGGACTGAAGCCAAAGTTCATGCCTGCGATGAAATACAAAGTTGCCATTTTCCTAGGTATATTTCATTTGAGAAAGTCATTGGAAGTCTAGCTCAGTAGAAGCATATCTAAATTTTTCCTGAGACCCTGGCTAGAACTAAGTGAATTACATTATCCTCAACAAGCACCATTTCCACATTAACCTTTAGTTTGCATCTTTTTCATTATGTCAGAACAACAGTGTTAATTTTGAAAAATGGTTTTCATTTCTCTCTAACACCTGGACATTTGTGTGTTGCTGAAAGAAACTATAGAATTTTTCTTTGATTCTATTACTACTTTATCATTTCTGACCTTTCATAGCTGTACTAGTCAATGCTTACTAGAGTCAGGAGTAGAAGAGTGCAAAGTCAGAAGTAGAAGAGTATGCTCTGGAGATGGAAGAATGCAGTCAAGGGCCCGGGCAATGTCCCCTGCAAGTCTTTATCAAGAATGTGCACTGGAGGGCCGGGGATTTGGCTCAGTGGTTTCGTCGCCTGCTGCGCAAGTGCAAGGACCCTAGTTCGATCCCCGGTACCAAAAAAAAAAAAAAAAAAAAGAATGTGCACTGGAAAAGCCCAAAGGTCAGTGGTGGAAGCTAGGAAAGTCTCTGCCGGCTGGGTGAAGGATCTGTGCCAGAAGCCTGAGAGATCTGTCCTAGAAGGCAGGAGATGATGAGATGAAGTAGAAGATGAAGACAAGGATTGAAGCTCTTGGAAAGAAGACAGCAGCCAAATCTCCTTTGAAGAAAAACTGCCAAAAAGCATCAGCATGCAATTTTCCCCTCTTTTTCTCCTTTTATGTTGCCATTCTGGCAATATTCCTCAGGTGCTTCTTCCATACCTAGAGCCGCGCTGACTCAGTTCAACTGAGTGTTCCCACTCAAGTTGACCATTAATTTGTCCACCACAATATCTGCACGTTTAAAAATTATGTTTAGCTAAAAGTGTTATATTTTCTTTTGCAAATAACATTTACTGATAATGGTTTCATTTTAAAATTATGTTTGATAAGTTTATCAAAATTAATAAAATTAACCCTTTTGGTGTATAACTCATGGATTTTGACATGGAGTGGAGTAATCATCATCACAATTACAGTTACAATAGAAAACAACTTTCTCACCCACCAAAGATCCATCATCCTGTTTATTTGTAGTCAGTTCCACCCAAATCCAAGCAGTCTGGAAACTGCTGGCCTATTCTATGTCCGTATATATTTGTCTTTTTAAAAATTTCCTGTACATGGAACATATATACAAACTCTGGAACCTGAGTTCTTTCATTTAGAATAATATGTTTTTGATTCATCCATGTCATAAGTGTATTAATAATTCACTCTTCTTTCTCGGAAAAAAGTGTTCCATAGTATGAATATACTGCAGTTTGTTTATTCATTTATCAGTGGACAGAGATTTTGTTTATACTAAGATGTAATGATTATGAATAAAGCTGTTATAAACAATCAATTATAGGAATTTTTAATGTGTTTATTTCTCTTGGATAAATATTTAAGAATAAAATTGTTCAGTCTTATCATCAACATATGCTTTGCTTTGTAAGAAACTGTCAATGTATCATTTTGTACTAGAAGCAGCGACACAGGAAAGTTCCAGTTGTACTGTAATCTTGTCACCATTCAAGATTGTGATTTTAAAAACATTCAAATAGGTATATAGTGTCATTCTTTTGACGCTTAACTTGAATTTTCCTAATGCCATAATAGCATTGAACATCATTATATATACTTCTGTTCCAATTTTAATATCTTCTTTATTAGAAAACTTGTTTAAATAATTTGGCTGCTTATTTTTGGTCATTTTTTTCTGTCTGTTTTATTTTAAGCATTAGTTACATATTATGTATATAAACCCTTTTTCTGAAATGAGATTTATAGTTACTGTTTCTCAGAAAATGGCTTAAGTTTTCATTCTCTTAACAGTGACTTGTAAGCAAAAATTTGAATTCTAGCTAATTTATCTTTTTTTTCTGTGATGCTTGTACTTCAAAACTCTGTAGAGCCCTAGAATTTTCCTTCTTTTATTGTTTTACAATGCTAGATTTTACATTGTAGTCATTGATTCATTTTTACTCAATTCTTTTACATATTAATGTTGTGTTAATTTTATGTTGTTATTTTTATTACCTGTTGCATATAGACATTCAATTGTCCTAGTAACATGTGTTGAAAACAAGACCTTTTCTACTGAAATGGTTTTGTACCTTCCTCAAAAAATCAGCTTGCCATTTGTGAGGGATGATATTCAAGGAAAACAAACTTCAGCTACTGCTGGTTTAACAAACACACCCATTTGTTACTATACTCTCTCTATTTTCTTTCTACAATATGAGAGAGTTATATAGTTTCAAAAAATGACTATACAAATCCATAAAGTGTAAATATTTATATCTCTTCTTTACTAGGCAATATTTGCCAATACCTGGAGTTATGGATTAGATTTCATACTCTCAAAATTAATTTAAGTCCTTACTCCCAGCACTTTAGAATGTAATCATTTGAAAATAGGGATTTTACAAAGGCAGTTAATGTTAAATGGAGTTATAAGGGCCATAGTCCTACAAAGGAGTGTCCTCATAGAGAAAGAGACACAGGGAGGTGCCGACACAAAGAAAAGACCTCCTGAAGACACAACGAAAAGCTGCCTATCTGCAGCCAAGTAGAAAGGTCTCAGGGGAAACCAAACCTGCTAAACCTTGGTCTTAGACATTCAGACTGAAGAACTCTGAGCTAATAAATTTCTGTTATTTAAACTACACACACATTGTGGGTAATCTCTGCTCTGGAAGGCTGAAGCAGGAGTATCTCAAGTTCTAGTCCCAACTGAGCAACTTAGTGACTTAGTGAGTTCTTGTCTCAAAATAAAGAAGGGGAGTGATTGGGATGTAGCACAATGAGAAGGCCATGGGCCCAATACCCAGTACATAAAATGAATGAATGAATGAATGAATGAATGAATATTAACAACATGAAGAATGATAACTCTTGAAACATTCATGATGACAAGTGCTGGTGAAGATGTGGAGTAATAGGAACTCATTCATTACTATTTAGAGAGCAAAACAGTACAGCTCCTTTGGAAGACAGAATGATAGTTTCCTAGAAAACTAAACATATTCTCATCCAATGATTAAGAAATTGAGCTTATTCCTTTGGACCTTTTCTTCCTATTTCAAATCATCAATTATTCATTTTAATCCTTATTTACACTTTCAGTTTCTCCAAAGGGGTAGGGGAAGTGGGAGGGGAATGGGAAAGGAAAGAAGGGAAAGGAAAAATTATGAGAAAAGAAAAAAATGGAAACAAAGTCTATGTAAATAGGGAAGGGTGGATGAAGTGAAGGACATACAGGTAATGGGGAAAAAATAAGAACCAAGATACATCATGTACAGGTACAACCACCCAATGATAAATGTAAACGTATTGTATACCTAAAATGTACCAATAAAAGAATTTAAGCAAAAAAAAAAAAAAAGAAATTGAGATTACTGATATTTATCCAAGAAAACTGAAAACTTATGTCTACAAAAAAACCTACAGATGGATGTTTATATCATCTTTATTCATAATTGCCAAAACCTGGGAATGATGAGGGTGGACTTTAGTTCATGAATAGATAAATTATGGTAAATTTATGTGATGGAATATTCCTTAACATAAAAAAATGAAATGAGATATCAAGTCATGAAAAGGCAAAAATAAAAATTAAATGCATGGTATCTTGTGAAAGAAACTAAACTGAAAAATCTACATACTATGTGATCACAACTACAGTGTATGACATTCTGGAAAAACAGAATGATAGAGACAGTTAAAAAAAAAAGTGTTTGCCGGGGGATTAGAAGACAAGTAGGAATTACTAAGCAAAACAGGATTTTTAGGGCAGTGAAAGTGCTCTTTATACTAATGGAGGATACATGTTATGATATATTTGTCCAAACCCACAAAATGTCTAATACCCAGAGTGAATGGTAAAGCAAACTGTGGACTTAAGGTGATTAGATTGTGCAAGGGTAGGTTCATCAGTTCTTTTCTGTTACAGGATTTAAAAAATTCCCCAAATGTAGCAACTTAAAACAACAAACATTAGCTGAATTTTCTGGCTCAGTGTCTCTTATAATTTTTGGTGAAACTGCTGCCTGAAACTGCCATCTCTGACAATTTGACTGAACTTGAACTTCTCTTCTAAGCACCCTTATATTTCTTTGGTCAGAGTCTTGAAATCCTCAGCCATTTTTCTTCCGATTTGAGTCAAAATGACTGTGACAATTGAGATAATCAGCTTCTGTGGAGAAAAAGTTTATTTAGTTCTCAGTTTTGGAGATTTTAGCTAATGGTAACTTGGTTGCATCACTTTTGAGCCTGTGGCAAGGCAGTACATTGTGGTGGGAGAGGGAGGTGGAGGAAGTCTATAGGTGCAGTGGATCCAGTGTTCCATGTTGAACAAGACCAAAGACAAACACTTTATTACATGAATCCCCTATCTTCTGTCCCTGCACCTGCACCAGCCTAATGGGTGGGCTGACATGAGACTTCAGGTATACAGGCATCATTGATAGCTCAAACCCTGTTTTTAAAATGCCTTGGTAGATATTATATCTTAGTGTACAGCTACAGTAATAAATTCTCAAAGGTACCTTTGGGGAAAGACTTGGGAAATATTTGCAATATACATTCCTTGAAGTAATAATATCTCTATGAGAGCTTAAGCTCTTTTTTGCTTAATGAGTATAGAGATTATAAGTGGCTCATGCATAGGAAGTGCACAAGGAATTGTATTTTTCACTGGGGAGTTTCCTGATTATCCATCATTGATTTCTTCAGATTGCATAGATTATTTCCTTCCTACCTTTTCTGCCCATCTTCCTTGCCCAGAAAGGTCACATTGTATAAGCATATCCATAGATCTCTGTGCATCAGGACCTCCTGGTTGCTACCCCAAACTGACCGCTCATTAAAATAATTGCACCCACATTGCTAAAATGGTCATTATTTTTCCAGGAAAGTATTTAATTAAAAGCAAAACAAACAAACTTTTTCGTATTCTAACCACCTTTATCCAGCACCCTAACGATCTCATCTCAAACATGTTGCTCAGATTTTTGCCAGCATATTTTACAAAGTAATATTGCTCCTTTCACTTTTAATTCCTCTCTCCTTAGCCCAGCACTATGACACCCAGATTAAGAATGGAGGGGATTTGGAGAGGAGGGGAATGAAGAATGGTGTCTTGCAAGGAAGAGGCTTCCTCTTACCATTAAATAAGCAGGGAGGTAAGGGTGGAATGGAGGTTAGCAAGTAGTAGCCCTTATCAGAGCAGACTGAGCATCATCAGAGCATCAGGATTCCAAGAACATACTTTTTCCATTTGCAGTAAAGACTCTGGGCACCTGAGATTTTCCCACTTAAGGTCAAGACTTTCAAATAGAAGGCCTACTATATTCAACTTCCACTGGAATTCCACTCCACTTAAATTAAATACAGGGCTAATTCTAGTTTCTCCTTCCTATTGGTTATAAGCAAGTTACTCTACATCCTAGTAAGTGTTCTGATTTTACACTTAGCCTAAAAATGGTGGGTAATCATTTTCAGACTTTCTTCAGTTTTGTTCAATGAATCTATAGCACCCAGAAATAGGTATTCTACTCTAGTCTTTATATTTACTACTTTGATTGATTCTCAAATGTCTGAGGCATTTTATCAGCAGCGGATATGTTCTAATTTATATTCTATCCCTGATAACCCCTGATGAAAATTTTGTCAGTTGGAGTATCACCATGTACCAGGAACAATCAGAATTTTCCCTATCACCAATGATAGAATTTTACCTATTCTCACTGCAAGCACACTTGTGAGGAGAATTGAAAGATTAGTAAACTGTCTTAATAGCAATCTGAACAGATGTTGCCTTTTTGCCTTTATTATTGTTGAATATTAGAATAGAATTTGAATACTGTTTTAATAAAAACAAATGCATAAAAATGGTAGATATTTACCTCAAAAGAATGTGTGATAAAATGGTAAAGTAACTTCATGAGGAATTAAGACAATGTTATTAAATATTTTTTTCTTTTTTTCTTTTTAAGGAAAAGCTGGTTGAAATCTTAAACAAGTTAATTTGCATCAAAATGTAGAAATTGTATGCAGCATTTCTTGATTACCTTGAAGATGGAAGGATTTTTATAGTATCAAGGAAATAAAAAAAAACACCTGATAAATATATATTAGGTAAATGGGTAACCCTACAAATATATTTCTGAGGGAATGCATTACTTGGAAGAATAAAAATCAATTTCTATATTTAAAATATGAAATATAGTATTTTGTAACGAATATGAAACATATCGCTATAGACATTATTAAAGGCTTTAGCTTCCAGTCCATTTACATTTAATTGAATTATGATATAATTGGATTTATATCATCCATCACATTATTTGCTCCACATTTGTCATACTTGTTCTAGGACTCATTTTATTATCTTCTTTTTAATTGCTTGTGCATTTTTATTCTAATATTCTTTTTCACAAACTTGTTTTCAAAATATTTCTTTTCTAAAATTTTAGTTGTTACCTTAGGTATTACTATATGTCCCCTTGACTGACCAAAGTTCAGTGTAAATTTGTACCTTAAATTCTCATCCAATTAGTCTCCTCCTGATTTACATGCTATTTTGTCATGTTTTAATTTTCTATCTATATTAAACCTAACAATATATTAACATCATGGTTTAATACCACCAATATCCATCTAACCTATTCGCATAATGACTTTCTGTTATTCTTCATTTCTTTCACATCCTTGAGCTTTCTTTTTCAAAACATTATTAACAGAGATCTTTATCATTTCTTTAATGTAGTCCCAATGATGATACTTTCTTTTAATTGTTTTGCTAAAACATGCTCTCAATTCACCTTTTTCAAAAGCCTCCCCCTCCCCAGAATCTGTTGACATCTACTTCTTGTAGCACCAGCTTGTCCTCAGAAGGATCAGCTAACAGTACCACAGCTGCTCATGTAAAGACAATAGGGGTTTTCCTCTAGTTTAATTTGAGAATGTCCTTTTATTCACATTTTCAGCAAATTTACTACAATATGCTATGTATTGGGTGTGTTTTATTTATTCTGCTTGGAATTTGGAAAACTTTTTGAACTTGGGGCTGAATGTCTTCTATCAGTTTTGGGAGATTTTCCAATATTGTCTCTTCAAATGGTTCATTTATTTTATTTTATTTCCCATCCGATTTTGTACCGTGAGTAAAATGCACTACAGACTATTGTTCCTTAAACTATCTGTGGTGATATAGAAGTTATTTTATTTTTCCAAATCTATCTTAGTGGGCACTTTTGAAAAATGGCATAAAAGCTGAGTGGTGATAGATTCTAACAAAAGGTTCTAATGCTTATTTTCAATTTCTGTATCTCATGTACCAGTATAAACAGTCATGGACTGGCATTTATCTGAACATAATATTTTGTGTAGCACTATCTAGGCCTTTTACTTTCCCTTATCCTTTTTTTTGTTTTTGTTTATCCTAGTTCAGTTTAAATATTTGTTTGAGATGCCTCACAGTTTACTATTTTTTCTTCATCCATATCTTTTCTATTGTCAAAAACATTTGCAGATTTCTTAATTTTTGTTATTGTTTTTAAGTTTTAGAATTTCCATTTTTATTGTCTTTAAGATTTTAGTTCAATGCTGAAATTACAAAATGTGCTCTCTTACTTACTGAAGTACAATTTTTTAAATATTATAAAACCTGTGTCACTGTTTTAGCTTTTCTTTTGCCATGACATAATACCTGAGGGAAACAACTTAAAGAGAAAAGATTTATTTTGGCTCACAGTTTCAGGAGTTTCAGTTCATGGTTACCTGGCTTTGATGCTTCTAGGGCTGAAGTAACCAAACCATAATGATGGGCAGCATGTAGTAGAATAAAGTGGCACAAGTCATGGTGGCCAAGAAGCAAAGAGAGAGAAGGGACAGGGGTCTCATTATCTCCTTCAAGGGTACACCCTCAGTGACTTAATAATCATAATACTATGTTCCATCTCTTAATGATTCCACTACCTCCTTAATAATGCCACAGGCTGAAGACAAAGCTTTTAGCATATGGACTTTTGGGGGACATCTAACAGTACAAATTTAGTCCCTTATTTACTGAAATATAATTTTGGTGACCATTATAAAACCTGTGCCGCATAACTGGATAATCTGAATCTCTTACTATTTAATTCTTTTGAAACTTGTGGGTACTTTTGATCAAGTACTAGGCAGCTCATGCAAAATCTGAAGATAAATTGAGTCTGTAGATACTATTCTGTTTCTCTAAGGAAAATCTGTGGTTGCTCCCAGCCTGTGGTAAGCCTCACAGGTCATTATACATTAAGATTATTGGGTATTGAGACTTATTGTAATCTGAGCCTCTAATACTGTGAAGACTCCACTACTTCTATTTCACTGTATTCCTAGGGCATAGATGTTTAGGGTATATGCATGGGGCCCCCTACTTATGAGAAAAAATGCTCCTCTTTGTCCTGCCAGTCTGTGAAACACACAGCTCAGTTGTATGGTCTCAGCCTCCTGCAGAATTTTTAGGTAAAAAGCAATCACAGATACTAGCCTCTCTTTTCCTAATATTCTTCTAAATCTTTGCTTCATTTTTCTTGAAATCCTGTACAATCTTCTGATATTTTCTAATGGTCATTCATTTTGTTCTATTCAGTAATCTCTTTGTTTTCAGTTAGCCATTATAGTTAGCAAAAATGAGAAATTAGGACTTTTTTCAAGGTCATGTACTCTATAGAAGATTCTTTTAAAGGTCATGTACCTTTTAGAAAATAACAATTCTTCTTTCAGGAAATATTTCTCATTCTGCCAAGACCCTGACAGAAGCCGAATGTTTGATTATGAGAATTCAGGTAATATTGTGCCCTGGCCCCTGAGCAATGAATCAAGAAGGCTTAGCTGTGAACTCTCATTAAGTGAAATGGTGTATATCTGACCATGCTTCCTGATCATGTAGGCACAAAGAAACAATCATAATCATGTTCATTATAGCACTGATTTCAATTCTTAAAAACTGCAAACATCTCATATGTCCTTCAAGATGTGAAATGATAAAGAAAAATTTTCATATAAAATAAAATGGAATATGATAAAGCAGCAATAATATATATAGTAGAATATTTATATCTTAATAACTTTTAAACTATAAAGTTGTGGAAATGAGCTGAAAGAATAAATCTACAGTTATACAATGTACTTGAAGAATAACACTACATA